AATTAATATTTGACAAAGGAGGCAAGAGCATACAATGGAGTCAAGACAGTCTCTTCAATAAATGGTGTTGGGAAAACTGGACAGATACATGCAAAAAAATGAAACTAGAGCCCTAACCGGTTTGGCTCAGTGGATAGAGCGTCAGCCTGCGGACTCAAGGGTCCCGAGTTCGATTCCGGTCAAGGGCATGTACCTTGGTTGCAGGCACAACCCCAGTAGGGAGTGTGCAGGAGGCAGCTGATTGATGTTTCTCTCTCATCGATGTTTCTAACTCTCTAAACCTCTCCCTTCCTCTCTGTAAAAAAATCAATAAAATATATATTTTTAAAAATGAAACTAGACCACCAACTTACACCATACACAAAAATAAACTCAAAATGGATAAAGGACTTAAACGTAAGATGGGAAACCATAAAAATCTTAGAAGACAGCTATTATTTTATATATTCTACCAAAGGCACTCTTATTCTTAAATCTCCCCAAATCTTCCATTTGGAGTCCAAGAAATCTTCTTGTCCTTTAAGAAAGAATGGTTGATATTTACATTTTCTGAATTCTACCTACATTTTCATATTGTGAGACTGAGACCCAAAGCAGAAACTGACCTCAAGCAAAAACTCTGACAGTCATCGACTCGTAAGTGGATGCAATGAGAAGGTCCCTGTGGAGTGCTGACCAGGTCCCTGAGTTTGTAGAGGTCTGTGAATATGGAGACATCCTAGGGAACCATTAGGGATCTCACCCATGAATGTCATGAATAGTTGAAAACTTTGCAATTCTTCCTACACTTTTTAGAAGTGAGAAAACCCAAAAATGATAAGTGTGACCAAATCCTAGAAAAGAATTCAAAATTTATTTTATTATGGTAGTCATACTGGAGAGAACATCTTTGTTATGAATACAGGAAACTTCCCTTGGGGCTCCCATCCTACTGAACATCCTAATATTCATCTTGGAGAGGATCCCTGCTTGTGGGAGGCATCTGTTAGCAACAGCACCATATGACATCAGCTAATTCACATGTAATAGACACTCCTCAAACGCAATAAATGTGAACGCTTTCACGAAAGTAAAGCTCATTGAATGTCAGAGAATTCACATTGGAGAAAAACCATAAGCACATAATGGAAGTAAAATACTTGTAGACAGTGCTCAGAGCTAATAAGACACCTGGGATTTCATGGCAGAAAGGAGCCCTGGGAGCATAATGGATAAGGAAGAACCTTCAATCAGAGTTCCATCCTTAGACAATGTCAGCTAATTCACTTTGGACTTAAAGCAGTTGTATGTGATGAATATGGAATACTGTCTAGGGGAGGCGTGGAATGCATTGAACATCAGATCACTCGTCCTAGCGAGAAGCCCGTGAGCATAATCAATGTGGAAAATCATTTGGGGACAACTTAGCCCTTTCTCATCTTTGGAGAATTCACAGGAAACACACACTCATAGAGACTGTGGGAGGGTGTTCCGTCAGTAATCAGGCTAATTCATTCTGGAGAAAAAGCTTGATTGTGGAGAATGAGGAAAAGCCTTTAGTTCTTTCCTTTACTGATTTTCAGAGAAACTTTAGTGATATATGGGGAAATGGGGGAAATTCAGGGTTTATTAAGTATCACATGAAAGCATTAATTGCAGTAAGTACAGCTTTAAACTTTTTGTTTCCTCCACCCCAGCCAAAGCTTTCATTCCTTTCTCTGATTATCTCATAGGATTTTGATTTTAATGTCTTATCAACTGACTGCTTTCTCTCCTTCCACCCTAACTCCTTATCTCAGACTAGGATTTTAAGTTTTCCAGAAGACATCCTTGCCTCCCACTATATTCACTCTCCCACTGAGGTAGAAGATATTCAGGCCTTGTGCATTTCTTTTCTTTTCTTTTTTTTTTGAATATATTTTATTGATTTTAGACAGGAAGGGAGAGGGAGATAGGAACATCAATGATGAGAGAGAATCACTGATTGGCTGCCTCCTGCACGCCCCCTACTGGGGATCGAGCCTGCAACCCAGTCATGTGCCCTTGGCCAGAATCGAACCTGGGACCCTTCAGTCCGCAGGCTGAAGCTCTATCCATTGAGCCAAACCAGCTAGAGCAGGCCTTGTGCATTTCTGTCTTCTGGCTTTGCTTAGAGGAGAGAGAGAGAGAGAGAGAGAGAGAGAGAGAGAGAGAGA